GAAACATCGATTTGGTGTTCCACTCATCAATGCATTCCCTGGTTGATTCTTCTATGTGCCCTGACTGGGATTGACACTGGCAACCTGGGTGTACTGGGAAGATGCTCTAACCAACGGAGCTATCCAGCCAGGGCCAAGGTTTTCTTTAAATTAAAATATTTTCTATAATCATTTAAATTTAAAATTAAACAGCTTAACTAAGTTTTATTTCTATTAAGGAGTTAGCAATTACAATCACCTTTATCCTTTTTAAAAATTTTTAATTAGATTAGATTCCTTTTCCATTTGTAACACTTTAAGTTTTATACTTAGTTACCCCATTATAGTTTCAGTTATCATAATTTGGGGACTTTTAAAGATGGCTTTAATTTCTTCTGCTTTTAAAATCCAAACTGTGGTCATATAGCATATAGGTGCTAATATCTAGAAAATACACACATTTTGCTTAAGTTAACTGCAAAGAAAACTCCAAGTATTTAAACTTTTTTATTGCTTTATATTAAGAATATACAGATATTATCTTTTTGGGGATCCCCGAATGTGTACTGAAGGAAGAACAGAAAGAGCAGAAATTTTTGATTATGAAAAAAAAGTTAGATGCATTCCTTGGTGAAAACATTTTGAAAGAGTGGACGTCCTCGCTTTTAAATTAAAAATGCTTTCATAATCTTATTTGACTCCCAAGAGAAAAGATAAATCAATCCAGGAGTTGCTTATTTTAAACTATTGACATGAAAGAGCTAACACTTAAGTAAACCTATAAAATGCTTTCATCCACCTGCCTGAGAAAATACAAATAGCCTGTGAAGAAAAAAAGTTATAGGTATTACCGATTTAAAATAAAAAGAGACATGGAGATGTTTAATTTATTATCTAATGAAACAGAATCAAGAGTTCCATCTAGTTCAGTCTGTTTGAGTACTAGATTCTGCTCAGCAGCAATTCTAGTGATCAACCCTCTAAGTATTATTTACCTATTATGGGTATAACTCTGCAATGATGTTAGAGAAACAATAAACATGAATAAAGTTCTTACATTAAAGGAAACTACAATATACTAGGTTATCTAGGATAGTGCACCCACAGCTGTAACACATGCTAGAATGTGCCAGTACAAAAGACACATAGCTCTGCTAATAAGCAGAAAGAACTGGCAGGCAAGACTTTCTGCTGAGGGATCCTGAAAGCTTTCCACAGGCGGACTTTCCCAGTAGAGAAGGGAGAGCGAGAACAAGTGTGTAAGGAGAAAAGCACGTGAGAGGTTTGGGGAGTGGCTGGCCATTCTTTAGACTGCAGAATGCATGAGAGGGGAGGTGGGGGGAAGGGCAGCACGAGTGACTTGGCCCCGCTCCAGGGCGCACTCTTCTTTCTGCAGAGATGGGGAGCTTTGCCATTGGAGGGTTTAAAGGGAAAGAAGGCTTAATCATCAACTCCTTCATTACAGAGACAGGGAAACAGAGCCTTGGAAAGGTTAAGTTGCATGAAGAGGAACACAAAATTCATACATAAGTCAATCCTCCCAGGAGTGACAAGATCAGATATGTGATTTAGGAAAATTATTTCAGCAGCAATGTGTAGCATAGACTAGAGAGAAAAGGAATTATGTGTAGCATGGCTTAAGAGAGAGGAGAAACTGGATGCAGTGTAATTCAGAATTCTTTATTACTAAGATGCTACTGTAATGTGTCTTAAGAATTTGATTCCTTAATAATTTGAGGCTGCCATTCAGTGCCTGGTCAACTCTCCACGGCACATGGAGACTCATTACAATGAATGTCAGAACCAATTTCAACAACTGTGAATGGGAAAAGCAGTTTGAAAAAGAAAGTAAACTTCACTGAAACCTGTGTTTAAGTGTAATTTCTTTAATAACAACGAAGAGTCTATGATTTCCATTACTAAGAGAGAACACACTTCATTGTTACACACATAATGATTTAAGCTTATACACGATGCTGTGGAAAAACAGCTGAAGTAGGTGACCATACAACGGATGAAGCTGGTTTTCATTTGTGAAAGGCAGCCTTGCTATTTTATAGTAATACCTTGTAATAATCTCTAGCATGACCACCCAGGAAATGCCATGCTGAATCCATATGAGCATAACAATACTTGTCCTTTTTGATGATTATCTCAAAGTGTTTCTGATGGAACCCTATTTTCCTTCAAATCACTATCTGGATTGATCAAAAAATTATCTTACCATTTTCTATATCTATATTTGCTAATGGCGCTTGCATTACACTTTTACAGTGCTGTCATGCCTATTATTCCTTTTTTTTTTTTTACTGGGTTTTAACAGTTGACTTAATGGCACAATTTAAGATTATTATACTTCAACATATTATTTTCAATTGAAAGAGGGTTACCATATCTATAACACTGGTCTAAGTTTAAGAAAATTTCAACAAGGACTTTAAAAAAAATCCCTTCTGTCCTCTTTCTTAAGCAGCACATTTGCATTACTAGACAAGTTTTTTGAGGGCACAGACTGGGACCTTGTGCCCCCCGAGAGTGCCTACACCATGGAGGTGCTCAAATGTTGGCTTCAGTAGTGAAAACAACGGTGGCAGCGGGCCAACTTTGGATGCAGCTCTGTGATGCAAAGACCACCTGGGCGGACTTGACCTATCAGGATGTTCAATCAATCTACAGGGCACACTGGTTTTTCCGATAGCCCTCCACATGCTGATACTCTCCAGGCTTCAGTCACACAGGCCTTCCCATCACTCTCCACACGAGCAAAGGTATCCACTGCATGGACTTAATGCTTGTTACATGTGTGGATGACATCAAATTGTTGTCTTGGACTATGGCTTCTTTCCTAAGCTACAAACTGTATCTGTTACCGTCTATTAGACATCGCCATTCCTATGTCTGACTACACCTCAACAAAGGCCCCAGACCAAAGTCGTCATCATTGCCCTAAAACCTGTTCCTTCTTAGGACTTGCCTGTGCTAGTAAATGGCCCCACTGAGATCTACTCATTTCTTCTCTCACCCACCTCTGTGGAATCAATCCCCGATTCCTAGTAATTCTACCATCAAAAATATATCTCCAATCTATCTGCTTCTTTCCTTTCCTACTGAGACCATACCCGAGGCATTGCCATAACATACCAGAATTACTTTTAACTGGTGACTTTGCCTCCAAACCAACTCCCTCCAATTTGTGAAGCCAGAATGATCTTTCCAAAATGTGAATCTGTTTAAAAACCCTTACGTGGCTTCCTATTGTCCTTAGGAAAATATTCCAACTCTATCATGGCTTACAAGGTCCTTGAAGAGCTGGAAACTACCTTGTAAATGATACTATAACATGGGAAAATGTATAAAGCACACAAGGTCTAGAGGAGCCAGACTGACCTATCACTAGCTGTCTCCGACAAGTTATTTGATTTCTCATCCCTCAGTACCCTCACATGAAGTGGAAATACTAATACCTAGCTCACAGTGTGGGTGTGAATATCTGACACAGTGTCTGACACATCTGACACATAGTAAATGCTTCATAAGTATTAGCTTCTGTTACCTCTCTAGTTAATTTCTCACTTCTCTCCTATTTACATTCTGAGTTCCATCCAGAGCTAAGCCTTTTCATTTCCTCCTCTCACACATTTCCTCTTGCATTTTACAAGCCCAGTCCTTCGGGCTGCAACTCCCCTTCCCACCACTCCTTTTCTCCTGTGACTACTATTCCGGTCTCATCCTAAATTCCACATCCTCTGAAAAGTCCTTCTGTCCCCTCCTGTCTCCTGTTAGGTGCCCTTACTAAGTGCTCCTGAAGGTTTTGTATTTTTCCCTTGCCATTCACTGGTCTGAGTTTCGTGTATTTTTCACTCTTCACTGCCATTTAGTAAATTCTGTTTGGAGAACAACCATCTTGCTCACTACTGTATTCCCAATGCCTGGCACGGTGGCTAGCACACAGTAGGCACTTAAAAAAAATTATGTGTATGAACCAGTGTGCACATAATTTTGAACCAGTATGAGCACAGGGGTGATTGTCCTCTTACAATCCCCCCTGTGCTCCTCCCCAAACTACAGTTGGTACAAAAGCACAACTTTACACAACAGTTATCTGTGAAATACGGTTCAGGAAAAAGCTGCCACAGAACAAACCTGCTCATATAGTACTGGGAAGGGTAGGTTAAAACAAAGTTAGAACTTCTGATCCACAGCACTTCTCAGTCTTTTCTATGCTAAAGCGAACTGTGAATTTCCAAGTTCCGTTTGTGCCTGTGTGTGTGTGGGGGGGGGGGGGGGGGCACATTTCTCAAAATCTCTCCTGCAAGCAGTGTTCTGTGAAAAAAGTAACATCGTGGCAAAACTGGTTTAAGGAGATGCCCTCCCCTACTAGAACTTCCCATTAAGTTGGTAGTTTATGGACGGGATTTCTCTGAAGCACCTATTTCTCAGGGTTCACCGTTTTTAGGTCGGTACCCACTGGACATAGAATCTGAGGGGCTATTAATAACCACAGACATATATTGATAAATCTTTCACGGAGGCAGAAACTGAAGCCCATTGGGCAAAGCGACCGGTGCCCGGCCACACATACAACAGGAAGAGAGATGCAGAACCCCAGACGCCCATTCTGTCCCTGCGACTTCAACTACGGACAACGCCTCTGGCTAGTTGGGTACGCCAAGTGTTCCCACGTCAAATTTTATTTTCAAGCTATAGCAAAGTCAAGTCAGTTTTTCTCGGCCATCGGCCAGCGAGGCCTAGTTACTGCCTCCCGATCCCCTGCACTTTCGCTGTGATCCGATCCATCCAATGCAGTTGGGAGTTTGGCTGGGGCGGGGGAGATAGTTCCTTCTTTTCATCAGAGTTCATTTTTGGAGTGTAAACTTTTTCACGCAAATCAAACGAACCTGTTAATTTTAACGCCTCCGCCTAAATGCCCGCGGGCGCTACTCCTTACCCCAGCGTTACCCAGCCTACCCATCTTCTTCCTTCCTCGCTCAAACCCAGCGGCCCTGCTGTTTGGTCTTCACCTGGGACTGCCATGGCGGTGATAAAAAGGATCGCAGGAGCCCTAGGCTTTCGAGTGCACGCTCCCTTCCCGCAGGCTGCGAAGACAACGCACAGCGAGGACGGCCTTTCCTCCCAACCGCGCCCCGGCAGCTCGGGGATAGTCCGGAAGGCCCTCTAAAACTCTAGCCATAGCGGAACCAAGTGGCTGCTGATGCAGTTTCCGGAGGAATCATGTTGCAGAACACACATGGTCCGAACCATTGTTATCAATTTCGGGGGATGGATGAGAACTGCATACGCATATAGAGAAGTAAACAACACCAAGACTTATGAATAGTTCTTTTTAAAGTTTTAATACAAATTAAAGTTACCTATGTGAGAGCTTAATCACTTTTCTCGTTCCCTGGAGGTCATTGGAATCCCCCTTCTCAAGGTTAGCGGTGTTCGGGTCTGGGAGCAACATGGCGGCGTCCGTGAGGGCTAGTTTTGGGAAGAGATAGTGGTTGGTGTCGTTTTCTTTCGGGATATTGACATACTGGAGCTTTCCCCGACCACCCAACTTAAGGAAGGGTGATAAGGGGATAACTTTAGTGATCGGCCATCTGCTTTTATTTCCAATAAGGAGCAGCGTCTTGAGCAGTGACCAGCATGAGCAACATCTACATTCAGGAGCCTCCCACCAACGGGAAGGTGAGGACCTATCTAGGATACCTGGGTTCCCCAAGGTAGTACCTCCCCGATTAAGGGAGTTCTGGGGTCTTAAGGTTGGAAGAGATCACAAGAAGTTTCGTCCTTCCCCCTGCCTCTGATCAGGATTGCATCGAAAACCACCTATTGGCACTTCTCAGCATATGTATACTTTGAAAAAAGTCCTCAAGTGGAGATTTCTCCACCTACTAGCTATATGGCGCTGTTTCTTGTTTCAGCTTAATTTCTGCAGGCGTTTTCTAGGGTCTTATGTAAAAACCTAAGTACATTTTAAAATTTGACTTATTTTTTGCTTGCATTTCATTCTTTCTCCTTTCATTTTATAACCATTGAATTCCTGGTAGGCACCTGGCACTATATTAGATGCTGGGATACAAACACGAATCTGCAAGGTCTAGTTGTTGCCCTAGAAGAGCTTATGGTTTAGTTTGGAGGCAAAGCAGGTGAAGAAAAACCTTATGATATGTGTGGTAGGCTTCTTATGGAGAGAGGAGCACATTGTTTATGTTAGTACTGAGAATTGAGCAACTGGGAAAGTTGGGAAGAGCTTCATGGAAGAGGTGTCTTTTGAGCTGGTCTTAAAACATGAGAGGATTGTCAGTTGGAGGAAGTGGAGCATGGGAAATGTTCCCACACTGGAATGGGAGAATGATTTTCTAATTGGTTTGATGGGGTATGCCAGCTCTCTTCCAAGGTGTTTATATGCAGTATGAAGCAGAGGAGTCAGTAATGGAATATCACCTGAATTGATCTGAGACCTACAGTATATCACATATGAAGCATGATGAACCAGCATAATGTAGAAAATAGTGGGACTGAAATAATATAGTTGAATTAGGGTAAACTAAATTTACATCAGATATAATTCTGTTGCATGACTATATCATAAGTTACTTATGCAATATTTTGTTGATTGACACTTGGTAATATAATATTAGGGCAGTTTGAAAACAATAATAGAAATGTTGTAATTGATAGCCCCAGAAAAAATTTAGTAGGTATTTTGGGCAAAGCAATTTTTAAAATTCTTTGTTGTTTGAACTTTTCTTGATCCCTACCCCACATCATTGTGAAAACCCAGAATACCTGCCTCTTTTTATTTTCAGATTTTTTTTTGAGAGTGATATCACCCCCCCAGTTAATAAATACTGGTAGAGATTAAATACATTGCCTATCCTGTTAGGTAGGGCTTTGACACTTGCTGTTCCTTTCTCTAATATACTCTTTGGCATGCTCAAATATCATTTTAAAAGAGGTCTTTCCTGTCCATTCTCTGTGAAATAGCAAACCTCATTCATGTCCTGCATCCCAGCATTCTCTGGTTCCCTTAGTCTCTTTAGTTTTTTTTTTTTTCTATAGTACTTAATATTTATTGTTTACTGTCCTTTCTCTACCCTTTTACCCCCATGGAATGCAAGCACTATGAGGACAGAGATCAGAATCTGGGATGGTGCTTGATACATGGTAGGAGTTCAAATATGTACTGAATGAATGGATAAATTAATACTGTATTTCTCTTGTGAAAAGTATTAAGTGAGTTTGAGATTATACTGCTGCTGGTCAAGGGCAAACTTAGTTGCTTTACTCTGGAGGAAGGTTTTACATGGTCATAAAGATGAAAACCTTTAACAAAGATACATGCCTGAACAGGAGAGCTTTCATTCAACAAATATCTATTGAGCATCTAGCATGTGCCAGGCTCTATGCTTGGTTTTAGAGATACAATGGAAAGAAAAACCAGCACTGTCCCTATTATGATGGAATTAGTTGAGTGAAATATATATTTATCAAATAATCACACAAATAAGTGTATGCAAACTGTAATAAATACTATCCTTCTGTACAGACTTGGGCCAAGGGAAAACAACAGGCATGGCTCAAGTCTTACTTCAGAAACAATTTGAGACTTTTTCCAGCATAAGGTTGATTGAAGACGTGAAGCTTCTAAGTTCTCTACCTCAGAGAGCATGGCAAAAAGTTTGGCCTGGAAAGAATTCAGAAGTAATAGCAAGTTTGTTCAATGAATATTTTTTTAGTGCTTATACTGTCTAATGTTACAATAGGTATTGAAAAGATATACCATGGTTCTCAAATATCTCCCATCTCAAACATTTTGGTTCTTGAACAAGCTGTTTGCAGAAAAAATATCTCAATTGTTGAACAAAACACTTTGGTTCTCAACTCAGCAACCCTTTTATGCTGATATCTGTATGGTCAGTCACATGTCTCTCAGGTGACAAAGGAGATTTCGTTTTCAAACAAATTGCTTCTCAACAGCCTTCTGGGACGAATTAAGTTGGAGAACTGAGATGCCACTGTAGAGATATTCAAAATAAATGGGACAAAATTACCCCCTTCAAGAAGTATACTATCACCTTGGGAAGTAATTGACATGTAATAGTGCTGGTTGACTCCTGCCAATTTTCCATAAATGTGTTGTGTTTTGCAATTATGCTTATAACTCTAGCCTCTGAAGATGAGGCACAAAAATGAACTACTTAATAGGAATTTCCTTATCTACTGAAGATTACATTTCCACATATTGTAATTTATTCTAAATTATATATTAACATATACTTATTCTCAAGAATTTTACAGTCATACCTTGGTACTCATCGGCTTTGGAACACATCAAACCCTGTACTCATTGCGTTTTGATGAGGAAGAAAATGTTTCAGTGCTGAGTGCTTGCTTGGGACCTGTCGCACTTGCTAGAACTTGTATGAGTTACAACGCCGCTCCACAAGAAAAAGTGCTTCATTGTTTGGTACATTAGTTTTGGCACTCGCCTCAAGTTCCCAGTATCAAGGTACCACTGTGCTTTCAAAGTATTGTTCTATTTGGGAGCCTTCATTAAAGGAGCCACTGATGTCTGATAAAATAGTGATAGCCAGCAGGAATGAATGGCCAAAGGAGGAGGGAGCCATGAGACTTCTTTTTTAATTCAGTAGCTTATCAGTGAAGATTAAGAAACCCTGGTAAGCAAGGTGGCCCAACCATATATGCATTCTTTTTACATGGTGTAAGTGGCCTGTGTCCAAAAAAAAAAAAAAAAAAAGTTGTATGAAAATAATAATGTCAACAATAATAGCTACCATTTTTGAGCATTTACTATCCATCAGGTGCTGTTCCTCATTTTGTCATCACAACAAACCTATGAGGTTATCATTATTACTGGTTTCAGATAAGGAAATTTGTCACAGAAATATTAGACATCAGGCCCAAGGTATCTTACTCTCCATAAGCGGAAGGGGCAGTGTTTGAATTTGGACAACCTGACTCTAGAGCCTGGAGAGGGGTCGGGATGATGTGCTCTAGCTTGATTTAGAGCAGTGGTTTCTGAACCAGTGAGTGCATACTTTGGGGATGTGCAAAACCATCCACGGGATACAGGGAGAAAATCCACATGCTTCTGTTTGTATTTATTTTCTCCTTCATTGTTTAAATGCACTATTTTATATATAAAAAGGAACATATAAATTCAGTTAGTCACTTTTTACATACCACGATGCCATTTTTCCTAATGCCTTGCTAAATGGAACTATATTCCGTGGCATTTAGATGAATTAAACCAGCACTCACAAGTTTCAGATTGAACATAAGCAAATCGTAAGAAAGTGGTAGAGCTGATGCCTTGGCGTGGGGAGTCTTTCAGAAATTAGAAAGTATTATGAAAATCACTCAAAATACTGATTTCTATTCATTGTTAATGATGAACTTTGTCTTGTGCTTTGACATATTTATCACTAAGAATATAAAGCCATTGGGATTTTCAAGACATTTAAAAACTAAGTGTATAGGACTGGAAGATGGGCCTTTACAATTTGCAGGCAACATTATGCTGAGTGAAAGAAGCCAGGCACAAAAGCCGCACGTTGGATGATTCCATTCATATGTAATGTTCAATAGGCAAATCCATAGAGACAGGAAGTCGATTAGTGGTTGCCATTGGATAGGAGGGGGAGGAAATGGGGAGTGACTGCTAATGGGCACAGGGCTTCTCACGGGGGCGATGAATGTTCTGGAGGTAGATCGTGGTGGTGGTTGCAGAGCCGTGGATTATACTAAAAGCCGCTTTAAAAGGGTGAACTGTTTGGCATGTGAATTATATCTCAATACAGTCTTATAAATAGAAGGTTTCATTGTCCATTAGGAAAGAAAATTAAATTAAGAATTATTTTAAAGTAGTGTTTTATTGTAATCCTTACATTTTTTAATTTTGTGTGACTCCTTCATAATATAACACTAGAGTATTATAGTACTCCGTGTATTTAAATATACATATTTTGGGTATGCGTGCTCTGAGTTCTGACCTTCCTAACACCCACCTTTTCTTCTTTGCTAACAGCGATGCATACTTATAAAAACTTTGGAGATCACTGCTTTAGAATCGCAGGGAAGAGAAGACATGTCTAGGTCCCCTTTAACAGTCATTCTTTATTTCAAGTTTATGAGGGCATAATGAGTTAGGACAGGACGTTGTGTTTTTAAGATGGGATATACATCAGGCCTCATGGAGAATCGGGTGTTACACAGTCTGAGGTAGCGAGAGTTAACCTCTCAGAATCCTAAATGTATCCTTCCCAGGAGAATGAGAATCCAGTTGGGTTGGCTTGTCACCATACATAAGAGATACAGATTATCTCTTTGGGGCATTGTTTCTTGCCAAGCTTAGTTAGAAGGCCTTGCTCATGTCCAGCCAATATGTGATTGCTTTTGATTTAGGCATTATTCTCTATTTAAATAAGTTCTGACCAGGGTAACTGGGGATTTCTTTTGAGACACGTGGCAAGGCCCTAGAGCTTGATGGACTGTTTTTTTCCTGTGTAGTAAGGAGTTTATTGAGAACTTGGTGGAGGCAGTGTAGTGGTATAGAAAAACCATGAGCCTTGCAGCCAGACAGCCTTTGGCTTAAGTCGCTCACTGTGAGACCTTGGATATAGTTACTTTCTCTGAGTCTCTGTTTCTTCATAAGTAAAATGGGAGAAATGGTAACTACCTTGTAGGTGAAGATTAAAGTACATAAGATTTGTGGTGCTTGCCACAGAAGCTGACATGTGGAAGGCACTCAACAAATGTTCCCTTCTTTTTGTAGAGGAAGTGTAATGGACTGATTAAGAAAATTATGCACAATTTGCATTTCTAGTTCTTATGTATTTCTTTAAGGGCTCAGGAATCCATTTTAAAAGCTACTATAATATAGCTATTTCTACCTTCTCCAAACTCTTGGTCATTGAAGAATAGTGATATAAGAACAATGGAGCTAGTAAAAGCCCAAAATATAAAATAAATTCCTCAATGTTATATAAATTATGGCAATGTAACTTGGGCTTCTGAAACATAAACTGAAAGGCAGTTGACCAAAAGTACACTGGACGAGGAGGGAACAGAGAAAACTGCTACTCCTGCTTTGCTATTAACAGGCTCCTGGACTCCAGGCAGTTTATAACTTCTTTGAGGCATTTGTATAATGGGTTGGGGAGAGGGTGCTTAACTGAGTAATTTTAAATTTCTTTCCGGTTTCAGAAACTTTGTGGAAATTAGGTGAAGGAGTTTTGGAAAATAAGAAGTGTCACTTATCTTGATACTGACTTGCCGTGAGAATCATCTCATGTTTTAAAATACATAGTCACACTGCATACTCTTTATTTACAAGAACATTCTAAAATGATGGTGATGGTCACAAGTCACTGACCGTTGGTCACTGATTGACACTGATCTGCCTTGGTGCATTGGGTGGAAAAGAGTGATCCTGGAGAAGTTGAACTCCCACTATGCCACCGTGTTCAAATTTAGAGTCTAATGTTCTTTTTGATTATTTGTGGTTATTAATAAGGCAGTTATAAGCTGTTTCCTTCTGTGCGTTTAGTAGGCATCCTGGCTGTTGAAAGATGGCTGGTTGCACCAGGGAATAACTGACTTTATGAGCTGGTAGGAAGGAGGCTGCCAAAGGATCCCCTTCCCTGTGGCTGGCGGTTTTCAGGCATGCCATTTTAATAGTATACAACCCAGAGTTAGATTAAGACCATTCCTTCATAAATTAGGAACGGCATGATTTCAAATGAGAAAGTAGAGTGATAATATGTAAAAGGGTAATGTGAAAAATCATCTTATAGTGTCACAATTTCATGAGTTCATTTTCTGTAATGTCTTAATTTGCTACACCAGTTTTATTGGAAGAAGTCTGTGAAAAACTGTCCTAATTAAAATAAGTTTAAATTATTGATTTTTAAATGAATGAGATTTTTCCCTGTGATTAAACGAGGTGTATACTATTTTTTTCTTAAATCATACATTATTTCTGAAAATGGTATTTGAAAGCTATAAATGTACAGTGACTTGTATGAATAGTTTAAATTTTTTTTAGTATAACAGCAAAAGCCAAGTAGCACTTCTAATTTTTATTTTAAAATTGAAAACTCATTAGTGAATGCTGCAAGTTGACAGGCCATTCAACAGATAATCAAGCAAAAAGATAATTTGATATAATGAGGTTATATTCTTTCTACAGGTTTTATTGAAAACTACAGCTGGAGATATTGACATAGAGTTGTGGTCAAAAGAAGCTCCTAAGGCTTGCAGAAATTTCATTCAGCTTTGTTTAGAAGGTAATTATAATTCTTGAGTTTTATTCTGTAGGGGAAATTTTGTTCCTTTAAAGGTAAACTGCACCATATTCATCCACATCGTTGAAGACTAGTGTTAAGTAATGGTAATGAATGATAGGAGTTGATACCAGTGACACTGTGTTGAGCTATGTGTCAGGAAATGGAGAGAAGAGATAAAAAACTCCCCCGCCCCAAATAAATCTACATATCGTTAACAGAGAAATTTATCTCACCAAATGATACTTTGATCCTTTTTGGTCTCCTTGGTTATTTTCCATTTCTTTCTTCTATCTTCTAAATATGGGTATTCCCTAAGATTGCCTCTAGTTCTCTATTGCCTTTACTCTTCAGTTGTTACTTCATCCAAATGACTATAAAATTTAGAATCCCAGCCATTTCTTCTCTTCTTAGCTTTAATTTACATATTGAATTGCCTAGTGGACTTTTCTGTTCGAATCCTCCTCTGTGAGCTATAACTAAAACCAGTGTAAAACCGTATTTACCCGTTGCTTCCCCAGACTGCTTTGATTTTCATCTACATGATTGTAATTGCCTTTTTACCTGGTCTTCTTCTCATTGATCTATAATATCTTTACCCTCTTATTTATTCATCTGGTCATTGACTCTTCTGGCAGCATGGCTTCCTTGCTTTCCAGCTTTATTTTTATTTTACTAAATAACTCCATGGTTTTAGTTAATCATCTGTGTCTCTTGGGCAGTTCCTCCCCATTTCCACTTTCACACATATCCTTGTGCCTCCTTCATATCCTCAGTCTCCTCATATCTTCAGTTTCCTTTTCAGAATACTTTTTCTTCTCCTTTTTATTGCTTAGTCTACCCACTTTTTAATGTCTATTCAGAATTCCACTTTTTCCACAAAGTCTTCCATTCAGCATTCAGTGATGTTATCGGTGTCTCTCATATTTTTTAGATTTGAGTCATAAGGTGACTATTTTTCTTTTTATAAAACTTCTCAGAAGTATACATTTACTTGACTGTTTTCCCCTTCAGAATATTTCCTTGTAGGACTGAACATTTCATACATTTTCGTAACTTCTTGGTATTTAGGATACATTGCACATGGATTTGAGTATCTCCAGTTGTGGCAAATCATTGTCCTTCTAAGTTATACCTGATTTTTTAGAGACAGACAAGGTTAATCAAGATAACAGAACACAGCATTCTGAGTCAAAAGCAAGGTGTGAGAAAGAATCCAAAATATCCAATAGTAGAGCACAGTGAGCGTTCTCTCAGTAGATAATTAGACGAAGATAGCCATCAGGGAGGAGTTCAGGTATAAATGTACCCAACCACCATCCCTCCCCAAAAAATCTGCCCCAAAAGAAAAAAGATGTCTGCAAAGGCCATTATTAATAATTGCTATGGCAGACAGGAAGGAAATTGAGTCAGACAGGTAGTTGAGTCAGAGAAGCCTTAAATAACTGTCAACAGAGTCGAGAAACACAGTAGACACAGAAAAGTCAGACTTGTTTCTGGAAAGGAGTTTTGAAGAATCAAAAGCTCAAATTTTACAGTAGAAGAGAGAAAGTACAAAAACATTAGAAAGAATGAATGGTAAATTACAGTCCATGTCCAGGTGAATGGAAGAAACAGAAAACATCTGGATATAATATGACAATGAAGAAGAAATACGTTTCTTAAGTTAGGTGATGATGAAACTTAATTACAACAGTAAGAAATTACTCCCTTTTTTCTATGAATACAAGAGGAAAATAATATAAATCATCACAAAAATAAGCAGAGCAATTCTCTTAATAGAACAGGTAAGAGATAAAATTATTATCACAAAGGATAACAAGAAGTTTGAGCAGAATAATTTAAATAAATATACTCCTAAGTGAATGAAGTCAAGGTTTTTAAAAAATATAATTCAGAGGACCCCATTTTAATTCTCTGAATCTATGATTTATTTACTTAACAAATCATAATATTTCTAGATATTGTAACACTCACAGCAATATTTGTTTAGAAGCATGGTTTCTGTAATTAAAAGGTAAATGAATGAAAATAAGGAAGTGCGAGCACAGCCTCAGATACAGCTCTTAACTAAGAGCATTCAATTAAAGGGAAGTTCTGTGTTTTTATTCTTCAGTTTTATTAAGGGGCAGTTGACAAAATTATATATATTTAGGTTGTACAGCATGATTTTTTAAAGGCATACAATGTGATGATTTAATATACATGTACATTGTGTAATGATTACCACAATCAAATTTATTAAAACATCCATCACCTCATGTCATGACCGTTTTACTTATTATTTTTTGTGTGTGATGAGAATGCTTGAATCTTCTCTCACAGCAAATTTCAGGTATTCAGTACAGTATTATTAACTGTATTCGTTATGCTGTACCTTGGGTCCCCAGAACTTATTCATCATATAACTGAAAATTTGTGCCTTTTGACCAACGTCTTCCCATTTCCCCCATCCCCCAACCCCTGACAACCACCATTATACTCTCAGGTTGTATGAGTTCAACTATTTTAATATATACATATAAATGAGATCATATAGTACATATTTGCCTTTCTGTGCCCAGGGGAGGTTTTTTCAGTTTTTATGAAAACAAAAGATCTGCAATTACACAGACTTAGGTTTGGATTATAGGTCTTTGCAGGTGAACATTTAAAAATGAGTGAAAATTTTAAATAATTCTAACTTTAAAAAGTAGGTGAAAAAAGATGTAAGAAAGGGAAAAGGAACTTGTTAGCTTTGATAATTTTATTAGTTCCTCTGAAGTATGAGTAAGGAGTAAAATTTTAGGTCTGCGAAACAAAGTGGAGAGCAGATAAGAAAATGAAATTTTGTTTGCTTTATGTGATTATTAATCTCTTTTATTTTAGCTCAACCTCATTTCTCCAAGATCCATGCTTCATCAGTTACCTTGTATCCCCTACCTCCTTTAACAGCAATTTAATAATTCTTTAGAAGTGTCAATATAAGTATACATTAAGATGTTAAAAGAAATGTCTTTACAAAACTAAAACATTTGTTTAAAAAAAAGAGGCTAAAATAAATGGGGCAGACAGATTGCAAAAGGAGCTTTTAAAAGAGTTATTCATAGTAATATCTACAAAATTAAACACAAAATGCAACATTCTAGATGAAACATATAAATGCTTCAAAAATGCAAATATAAATTCCTATGTGTACTTGGGCAGAAATATAGTTAGTCAAAATATATTATGATACCCATTCATTGTATAGCCAGAAATAAAAACTGTAATGACTAATACCAGAACCAGAATAGCCGATTTGGAACTTCATTTTAGATTTGAGATATATATATATAAATTTCTTTTTTTCAACAGAGGAGAAAATTCTGGAGAATATTATGAACATGCATAATGAAATAATAAACCCCTTTTTAAAAAATACTTATGAGACTGATGCATGCAATTTAAAAAGTCAACATTATTGCAAGCAGCAACATCTGTTATAGCACATGGTCATCTATAAAACTACTGTAAATGCATGATTCAACAGTGATTAATAATAAATTTCAAGGAAATAGAAAACTATAAATGCATAGTTCAATAGTGATTATTAATAAATCACAAGGAAGTAAAAATAGTAGATGTGGAAATTTGAAATTCTAGCCATGATAATACACAAAATTATGGTGTAGAGAAGTTATAGAAAATCCCTATTTAAGATATATAGTATTATAATAACTTTTCTCATCCAACAAGACTATAATTAGGGGGGAAAAGCTTAAAGTAAAAAACCAACATCACTAAACGACTTTATAAGAAATAGGAGAAAAGAAGCCCTGACGGGCTTGGCTCAGTTCATTGGGCGTCATCCTGAAACAAGAGTAAAGCAAGAGGTCACTAGTTCAGGTCATGCTCAGGGCACATGCCTGGGTCACTGGTTCAGTCTGGGTTAACTGGGGACATGCAGGAGGCAACTGATAATGTGTTTCTCACTCACATCGGTATTTCCCTCCCTCTTTCTCCCTTCCTTGCCCTCTCTCTAAAATAAATAAACAAAATATTTAAAAAAAAAAATAGGAGAAAAGTATAGTTAATTTTAAAAACAGAAAGCACAAGAAATAAAGATCTTTTTTATGTCCCCCTTCCCTCACATCTAGTAGATCTGAGTCTTATCAATCCTACTTCCTAGAGAATTTGTGAGTATTTGTGAGTCTGTTCACTTCAAGAATGTTTTGACTCTTAGAACAAAAGTAGTTTCTCTCCTCTCTCTTTCCCTCTCCCTTCCATCTCCCTCTCTCTTCTTCTCTTTCTCCCTCTCTTCTCTCTCATCTTTTGGCTTCCCAGCCTGGAAGTTGGAGTGATCTTTTGATAATGCAGATCTGATCATATACTCAAAAAATGTTGATTGACTCCATATTATGGGCCTAAGGGATTGTTTTCATTTTCTGATATAGCCTGGGGTATGTTTTACTTTCAAATTTGAATAAGAATTTGTAGAATTTAAGTAAAAATATTAAAGTTTGACATTACATTTGTGTTGAACTTGAAAATGTATAGGTTGCCTCCCCATTATCTTAATTTTCAGAACAACTCTGTGAGTTAATTTATATTTTTAGTTTTATAATGAGAAAATTACATGTACAGCATGCTGACTATAGTTAACACTGTATTGCATATCCTCAAGTTGCTAAGAGAGTAGCTCTTAGAAGTTTTCATCACAAGAAAAAATTGTAACTATAGTGACATATATTAGCTTGATATTGTCATTCATGATTGTTTCACAATATTGAATAAGTACCCAATCATTATGTTGTACATCAGAGACTAATATAATGTTATACGTCAATTTTATCTCAATAAAAAAATTGAATTTAAGGTTGCACAGCAACACTCAGACCTCCTTACTTCTACATACAGTTACTTGGGGATATGGGAGATATACTTGGGGTTATGGGGATAAATGGTGACTTAGGGATATGGGAGAGATGCTTTTATACCTCTTGGCTTTTACAGTTTCTGTTTGTAACTACGGAGAACTTGTCTGCACTGGGGAGCTCTTATGATTATAGCCCCAAAATTCTTTACTGGGAGAAGGGATTGAAAAAAATTACTTGGTCTACCTTTCTACTTCTTCCAATCCATCCTGCGCACTAGATAAAGTTGTTAGATTACAGGATACCTTTTTTTAAAATATGGATTTTATATCCAGTTATATGTTACAAACATGAATAATTCTATGAGAGTGCCTGTATGTCACTGTTGTAGTACTTTACGAATTACAATAAACTATAGTCACATTTTGACCCTTAAAGTGTCACAAAGTACCTATATAATAGGTACTTTATGAATTATCTCAGTAATTGTATCAGTACAATTTTTCCACAGTAACTGTACCACTTTACAACCCACTAACAATGGAGGAGGTTTCCACTTTCTCCTCCTCCTCACTAACACTTAATTTCTATTATTTTTGATTGATAACCATCTTAGTGGGTGTGAAGTAGTATTTCATTGTAGTTTTGATATGCATTTCCCTCATGACTAAAGATGCTGTGAAAATCTTTTCTTATGCATATTGGTCCTTGTTGGTACTTATTAATTCTCTGATTCAGTCAAAACCTAATTCTTGCCCTTCTGCCACCACCAGACCCTTTGCACATGCTTTACCTCATGGAGCTGTACCCTGCTTCTTTTTCCTCTGTGAAAAGTCCCTAATGAGTCTAGGTTCCAGATAGTAACTATTAGGAGATCATATATGATCTTCTTATATGTCTATGACTTCCAAATAACTTATTTATATAAAATATAAATAGTTTCAACCATTTAGCAAACTTATTGAGAGTTTAATTTGACTCAATTATATATTGTGTTGATTATTTATTTATTGAAAGTCTCTCCGGGGTCGGGGGGTGCATTGATGATGCTAGACCTATCATCTGTGAGTTATTTAGATGTCTTTTGAGTTTCAATATTCTTGGTGTAAATAAATTTTCTGTGGGGAGAAGAGGAAAAATGAGGGAATAAGGCATTTATCTCCACTAGGGTTTCTCAATCTTGGCACTGTTGACATTTTGGACCATTAATTCTTTGTTGTGATGACTCTCCTGTACTTTGTAGGAGGTCAGGGTAGAGCTCATGACTGAATATACTTGACCTCTACCCACTAAATGCCAGTAGCATCTCCTGTGTGTGGCAACCATATCCTTCTGGATATTGACAAATATTTCCAAGGGAACAAAATTGCCAACCCCCACCCCCTAGTTAAGAACCACTGATCTGTACCCAAAGCTCTCTAATTTTTATTTTGAAAATTGCAATCCAGAGTTTGAGAGAATCCTTCAAATAAGTAGAAACAAACAAAGAAACACCACTTTGATTTCTGTAGAAATCATAGTGTTTTGAGAAGATATTTTATAATAAGTATGGAAGAAAAGGTTTTGGTTTAGGAACCTATTTAACATTCTGGATGGAGGTGGGGGGAATCTTATGACTCTAGTTGTATTTACTCTGGTATAGATACACTTCGTTTTAGATTTTGATAATTTTTTTTTTCAGCATATTATGACAAGACCATTTTTCATAGAGTGGTACCTGGTTTTATAGTCCAAGGGGGAGATCCTACTGGCACAGGAACTGGTGGAGAGTCTATCTATGGAGCCCCATTCAAGGTGAGCCCTAATTCATCATTATTATTTATTTGCAAGTCAGCTTGGATTATTTAATTGAAAATGACTATACCCCACAAGAAGAAAATGTATTTCACATTAATGCACAAAATTGGTGTCTATGACATATTTAGAATTAACATAGGTATAAGAATAGTACTTATCCTATCAAGCATTCTAAGTTATCATACACTTTTATGCTAGACTGCATTCAGGTGGAGATAAAGGTATGTAAAAAAATTAAAGATTATATGCCTGTATCTGATTTTTGCAACTCTGAAATATTTTTAGGACAGTGCATATGCCATTCCATTTTAAAATATTTTATTTAATACTATCTGAACTTTGTCTTAATCTGCTTGGACCTCTATAACAAAATACCACTGACTGGGTGGCTTGAACAACAGGAATTTACTTCCTACTATCCTGGAGGCTAGAAAGTCCAAGATCAAGATGCAGGCATTCAGTTCCCAGTGAAGGTCCTCTCCCTGGCTTGCAGACGGCTGCCTTATCCCAAGTTTTCACGTGGTTCAGAGGGAGAACCCCTTCTTGTAAAGGCACCAGCCCTATGGGATTAGGGCTTTGCTCTTACGACCTCATTTAACCCATATCATCATCTTACAGGCTTGTCTCAAATATAGTCACTTTGGGGGTTAGACCTTCAAAATACGAATTTGGGGGATGTACAGTTTAGTTCATAAGAGTTAATTTTAAATTTTGTACCATAGATAGACTTCTGTAGCGCAAAATACATGCCATAATAGGAAATCACAAGGGAAAAAGAAGCAGCAACATAAATTGTTTGAAAAAAAAGTGTGAATATTAATAAAGAATAAGTCAGTGATTTGTACATTGACAACATAGATCTAAAGAGAAAAAAGAGTTAATGTCATCTTTAAGACATTAAGAATAACAATGAGTTCAAGTAAAAGCCAGAAGTTGGATTATTTATGAATCTGATGGTACCAATATCATGTTCTTGGAGTAAGTAAACCATAACAGCTCTTAAAATATGGAGGTTTTTTTTTTTTTTTTGAAGACTTGTGTTTATACTAATGGGATAGAGTTTCCTTTAATTTTTGACTGGGTTGCTATATGGTTCTTAAGAAAAATAGTTGACCTGTTTGCTTTACTGATGATAATGTCTTTTGAAAATGTAGAATGGTTATAAAAGTGTCTTAAATGTTTATATTTTACCAAATTGAGATGTCTTATGATATCAGAGCCTCAATTCAGTAGTAATTATTCCTTTGTTCTATTATTTGATATAATAGAATAGATCTTTTTGATAATTTATTTTTAAATTAAGATTTTTGCTAAATGTTCAGGAAATAACTTATTTGGTAAGTTTTCCAATTAGGTCATTTTTAATACAGTATACATAGTTATGATCCTTTGAGTTAAAATCTCTTAAAAATTATTAAGGGAAAATAACTCCCTTTTTGAAAAGTATTGATTATATAACATTGCTGTATTATAAATGAGTCTAGTATCAGGCCTGGATAGAAGTTCTATTAGCTAAGTAACTAATATATACGTTATATAGCCTGACCACAGCAAGAGAGCCACATTAGAAAGGCTTGCTACTGCCCTTTTAAAAATTGGCAAATGGGACCATTACCAGTTCAGAGAAAATTCAACTTAGTGCTCTAAAAAACACAGTAAAGCACATAACATAATCATAGTAGATTTGTTGAATTAAAAAAATAAAAAGAAAGCAGTTGTTTCCAGACTTTTACAATGGGGTGAGGAGGGGCAGCAGTTGAAGACTGCAGTGATTCAAAGGTAGTTTTCTTGGAGAAAAGAATAGAGGTTCTAAAAGCTTAGATAACTTTGAGGGATGGTAAAAATAGGGGAATGATTTTTAGAAATCTATTCCCCTACAAGTAACCTTTCTCTGTGTAAGTAGGCAGCTTTCCATGAAATCGACTAAATTTGTAGCTGAGTATATTTAGAACATACAAGCTGCTGAAGTCGTTTAATAGCATTGAAAGAATAGTAAATATTGGATTTGATTGTATTTGAAAAACAGTTAAATACAACTTCAGCATTTTTTATTAGAAGCTGTATGGGACCTTGCTGGTTAGCTGAATGTGAAGGGCCTCCTAACTGAGGTCATTCACTAAATCTTTTCTTTTTTATGCTTCAGGATGAATTCCACTCACGGTTGCGTTTTAATCGGAGAGGATTGGTTGCCATGGCAAATGCTGGTCCTCATGATAATGGCAGCCAGTTTTTCTTTACACTGGGTCGAGCAGATGAACTTAACAATAAGCACACCATCTTTGGAAAGGTTTGTGTTCATTATATTAGGCTTCTGTGATATATATGACCAGCTTACCTAAGAGCTACCTTCATAAATTATTCACTAGAGTACTGATTTATCTTCAAATATGATGGAATAGATTTCTGTTATAATGAACTGTATGGGACCACCTGAATATTTTTCAAATAAGGTATTAGTTATGACTTTAAATTTTTCTTTTTTTAAAAAAATCACACTAACCGGGTTAGCTACTATGTCACTCAGCTCATAACTGTTTTTATGTTTTAGGAAGACACCTAGACAAAATTTAATAGTTCAAAGTATATTTTGTTAATGATAAATTCCCTTAAGTTTAAAGTGAAAGTTATGTTAACATTAAAACTGTTTACCTGAAAGATTACTTTCAGTAGTATCTATTTAATCCTGCACAGAGTCAGCATTATATCAGGAAATGTCAATTTCATAAAATTTTTAACAGTTTTCTGTAGGAAGTGTTTCTACAGTCTCTTTTCTTACTCTCCCCCTTCTCATAAATACTTCACCCATATATGTTTTGTCTCCGGCATGTTAGACGTCATTAGTGTATCAGCTCCCTCTGCTGGCTCAGTGAGAGTGGTTTTCCATGTCCTAGGCAAAGCTGGATTTTGTGATGAGGAAAGGGAAAAAACAAACAGCACAACTGTAAAATTGGTATTATTTTAAAACTTTTGAGAAATGTTGAATGAAAGGAGTCACACTAAAAACATGCAATAAAGTATTGCTTAATACTTAACATGAATTAAATATGCATTGGCACAGCTGAGCCACTCTGACATAGGTTGTCTGATGTTCATAGATTTTATTTCCTCTTATTTAAAATAATAAAAGTTATGATAAAATGAGTTTTAGGTTGCCATTCTGCACCATTGTTTAGAGTTGATGTTATATATCTTACATATCAGAGATAAAGTATAGCATAATGGTTAGCATTCTGAAGGCCATTGCTGTTGACTCTGTAACTTCTTTGAAACTCCATTATCTGGGGATCTGGAGAAGGGAGATAATGATAGTACCTATTTCTAGGATGTTTGTGAGGATTAAACGAGGTGACATCTGCAAATTACTTACCCCCCTTGTTATTATTTACTTGTTCTATCCTATTCTAAAGTCTACATTTGTTTATGATGTTTGAATGAAAAGTTGTCATTCAGTAAGAGGTTATTTGACACTGTATTTTAGTTTTTCTTTTTTCTTTCTTTTTTTTTTATTGATTTTGGAGAGAGGGAGAGAGAGAAACATTGATTTACTGTTCCACCCATCCATGCACCCATTGGTTGATTCTTCTTTGTGCCCTAACTCGGGATTGAATCCCCAACCTTGGCGTATTGGGACAGTGCTCTAACCAGCTGAGCTACCTGTCCAGGGCTATATTTTAATTTTTAATAAAAGGTGATCTTAAGAATATATTGAAAATTTCCTAAACATTTTACTTAGGGGTTGAATTTCATCTATGCTATTTCCTCTTAAGATGAAGTTGCTTTATTTGCATTATATAATGCATTTGTTCTTATATAACAATATGAAATATTTTCAGAGTGTCCCCTTATTTAAAAGAATGAATGTAATAATTTGCAATTAAATTTTTATTTAAATTTAATAGGTTACGGGGGATACAATATATAACATGCTGCGACTGGCAGAAGTAGACACTGATGACGAAGAAAGACCACTTAATCCACACAGAATAAAAAGTTGTGAGGTAGGAGCATAATTAGTATAAGATAAAGCATTTAAATTGTCATTTAAGATAAAACGGTTATTACTATTTTTAATCTATCAGAAGAAGGCTTTATACTAAATTAAATCCAACTTGGATTTTATCAGTGATTTAGGCACAGATTCTGATTAAGAATTTTTTTTAATTGAAGGTTTTGAATTTTAAGATGAAATCCAATGAATGAAAAGCTCAATTCAGAGTGGAAAGTTGGAGGAATTAGATTTATTTAACCCAATGAAGTGACTTCCTTGGTAACTTAAGAGTTATCCTCTGTTGAGGAAGCCATTGGGCGTGGTCTTTAAGAACATTTGATTTGTAGTCAAAACGCCTGATTTTGTCTCTCTTACTATGTATTAAATTTCCTTAATTCTTTTCCCTTTGTAAAATAAGGATAAAGTATCCTTTACTTAATAGCACATAAGATTATTAGGAGAATCAAGGCCCATGTAAGTGGAAGCACTTGATATAGTATATGTTTCATTATACTTACAATGGTTATGTGAGGAAGAAATATAGACACTAATGTCAATACAATTAAATATTGGTTTTCATTTTTTTAAAGTTTTAAAAATGGAGTAATGTTTTCAAAATATTTCTTTTCATAGGTTTTGTTTAATCCTTTTGATGACATCATTCCAAGAGAAATAAAAAAGCCAAAAAAAGAGAAACCAGAGGAGAAAGTAAAGCAATTGAAACCCAAAGGCACAAAGTAATCATAGCAATAAGATTTTTCTTCAGCTTAAAAAGTAACACTGATTCATTTAGTTCACTTAATTTCCTTTTGTAAAAATTGTTAACTAGTGAGGGGGAGGCTAGTTTGGCCCAGGGAGATATCTGAATTATGAGTGTGTGTTTTTTTTCCCTCTGTGTGCATTTCCTGTATTCAAATACAGTCTATAACTTAAACTTAAGCTAAATAAGTATTGTCTCAGATGTCCATATAAACTCTGTGTTAATATAAATAAATAGGATTATTATAGCAATTATTTATATAAATGAGTTATTGAGAAAATTTTTTTTACTTTTGTTTTCAATTAATATATGCTCAGTATAAGGAACTTGGAAAGTGAAGTATGAAGGATATGACTGAATGTTCACATAACCTTTTTTTTTTGTGCTATTAATTTTGTTATAACTATTTTTAAACATAAAGCTGTTTGTGTATTCTGAATTGTTTCTTTAGGATAGTTTTCCAAAAGTAGAAATTTCTTTTAAAAAAGTTCCAGTATTTTATGAACAGTATTTACATTATTTGTCTGTTTCATTAAAATAGATATCAGAGAGTTAGATTTCAATTGATTCTTTTATTGAATTGTAGCATTCGTGTTAGGGATTTTAATATATTTAAAGTATTAGATTCAGACAGTTCTAAGTATAATCCTGCCTAACCCAGTTAATAAGAAGCAAAGTTTATTAATCTTTTTGGCCTTGAGTTCCCCCGTTTTATAAAATGGAGATTATAATAAATAAAATACATAGTCTTTGTGAAGATTAAATGAGAAGGGGAATTTGAAAATGCCCAGTAATATAGGTATTCAATAGATATTCATTTTTTTCCTTGATACCCTACAATATAAGCAAGTTGCTTTTATAAACTCTCAGATATGAAGCAGACATTTTAATAAGCAGCAGATGTCTCGTTATTTGCAGCAGAAGTAGCAAAATAACTTCATATGTATAGCTATATATTTGATTTCCTTTTACTTTTTGATTCATTTATTTTCACTTATCCTGGAATGAAAAGTTGCTCTATGTTCAGATACAATATTTTATATCTATGGTTTATCTTGACAACAAACCTAAAAGTTGGGTGTTTTTATTTTTGTTTTGAATTCATAGTAAATATATTAGGGATGCTATGATAGTCATTGAGTGCATCTAGGTTTCGAAATTAAAATTCCTCTTTTGTTGACAAATCTTTTATTTTTCTAATATTTGAGAAAGAGTTTTAGTAACATATTATTGATCTTCCTTGGGATATCTTTGGTGTGAAAGCTTAAAGAAGACACTTAGTTTTTCTCTCCCCATGGGCCATTTTTTTTTAGTTAAGTTTATTCCTTATATTATTTATTTAATAATTGTTGCTTAACTTATTAATTTTAAAATATTAAACCATATTTTAGAAGACACTAGACTAATTACTTCCCATTTGCAGTGCTCTTGGGTCTATATATTTATTAACTTTTCAGAATTCTTCATTTTACTAACCAGTTTTGATAAATGCTTAATTATTTCTGTCATACTTGTCTTAGTATATTTAATGGTAGTGCTCAGAATGAATTTTTCATCATTAGTTTAGTTTAACATTGGAAACATCTGTGATCTGAGGCCAAAACCTTAACATTATGCTGAAAATAGAGATCCTTAGTATATTTCTACTGAATACTAAGTAATATTGTCTATTGTTAAATGGTTAGAATGTGTTTCTTCTTGTAAGTTCTAGTCTGTTTTATGAAAATAGCATATTTATAAGTTTTGTTTAACTTTTTCTTCCTTTCTTTTATTCTTTTTTCCTTTCTTCCTCTTTTTAATTAGAAATTTTAGTTTACTTTCATTTGGAGAAGAAGCTGAGGAAGAAGAGGAAGAAGTAAATCGAGTTAGTCAGGTAAAACTCTAATTTGCTCTTTGTTCTGAATTATAAAAGAAATTAGGGTTTATCTCTTATTCATGCTTGTCTCTGCTGCTGTACATGGAACAGCACATTTCACGTGGTGCACGTTCAGGAAACGTTCATTGTACTAATTTGTAAGATGATCTATGGTCAGTAGTATTTGCGACTTCTGAAAACATTTGCCCTCTTAAAATTATAGTGTTTTTTTAAAACCTGAATTTTTTTTTTTTTAGTCAGGATTAAAGTTAAAGAATTTTGTGTTTCGGATTTTAATTACTATTTGTTTAATGGATTTACTAGATAACGATTATTATTATTACAATAAACAGTGACAGACCAAAGCTCTTGTATTCATTTTAATATTTATATATATTTATTCATTTTATTAATTCTCTTCACAGCGCTTTAAGGTAGATATTATTATTTTACCTATTAAGGTAAAGATGGGTTATAATTTGCTCAAAGTCACAGAACCAGTAAGTTAGCTAGAACAGGAATTTGAACCTTGTCTGTCTCACTATAAAATTCTTGTCTTTGGGCTACACATTGGCTCCTGGCCTTTTACCCCACTCATAGTTCCCATAGGCCTTCAAGAGTGGTTTTCCTCAGTATCACTTTTAGCACAGTGTTCATTGTGGAAACACCTGCAACACCCTGCCATTGTTTAGAGCAGTGATTCTGATAAGTATCTCCAAGGAAATAATCTAAAGAGTTTTTACTCTCTAATTTTCTGATATGTCTTCCTTTCTTGACAATAGTGAATACTGAGATCCAAAGAATTAGGTTCAAAGTCTTTATTGTAATTAAAACTCTAAACCTAGAACTGCCTTGCTTGGTTAACATAGTCATCTATTTCTTACTGACATGTAACAATAGCATTGACCTAAAAGCACATTATTGTTACCATTGGCTTTATATCTTTTATCCATGTGCTTTGCTTCCCTCACCATTGAGCGTGGTTTTGGTAGGCTCATGTGGAGCATGTAGTAAGCACTCTACACATACCCCTTGCATTAAAACTGAATTGAAGTGGGCATGTATAAGAAATATTTTAGTCAAAATTGTTTTTCTTCCTGACTTCAGTATTTCTGAGTGAAATATTTGATACTGTGATTCAGTTATCACCTGTATACTAATATTCTGAACAAGGTAATGAAGCTGAATATTTCTTCTGGGCTATTCTCATTCTAGTTGCCTTTGGGAAGTATCTCTACTTCAGGGATCAAAATTAAATTCATCTTTACACGAAAACTTTTTTCCCTATTCCTTATTAATATCATCTATATCTGTGTCACCCCAATAAAGTCATCTTCATTAGATGTTAGTGCTGTAGTCTTACATTATTCATGAATCAAATTTGTGCCTCATTAAGATAAAAGATTTATATGTCATGATCCTATGGGTATATTTGTAAATGGACAAAACTGCAAATGTTAGATCTGGGAATTGCCAGGCTTTCCTTTCATTGATGTTTTCTAAAGATGTCAAGTTTCCTGCATCCTCATTCCTTCCCTACAGTCCTCCTACCTCTGATTTTTTCCTTTTGCTTGGCGTGTGCTCTCTCCTTTATTTGGCTAATTTTTGTTTTTCCTTTAAGATTCAGCTGTTCTATTAACTTCTGACTACTTCTACCTCCCTCTCCCAACCAACTCCTACACATGCTGAGCTTAATTTCTTTTGGGATAATCTATCTCTGGCCTTCAAAAGCACTTATTATACTGCATTTATTGATTTATTTTCTTATCTGCTACCTGTGCCAAATATTTATTTTATGTAATCTTTATAACAACCATGAAATAGGTAAATTTTGTAAATGAAGAAACCAATACTCAGAGAGGTTATGTTGCTTGTCCAGGACCATGTATTTTGGACATGGTGGAATCAGAAGTTAGAAGTTAGGTTTCTATAGCTATTTAAGTCTCTGATATGATTTTGAATGCCACAGAAGCTGCCTAGTTCAACCACAAGCCATCTAAAAGGCTGGCAAGAAATTTCACTGGTAGCACAGCATTGTAGGGTGGGAGGGCGTCCAGTGCAATTGGTCCGTACCTGTCCCTGGCTCCTATAGGGTACTGGATTCTATACATTGAGCAGTCTCGGGGACCAAGAGCAGAAAAGAGGAGGTTTCCTGTCACTCTTTTTGTTGAATTAAATATCTGGTCTAAAGTAAGTTTTGTTCACGATTACTTTGAGATTGACTTTACTAGGAAATTAGTTTAATTTTTTTCTATTTTTAACAACAGCATGTCTTAAATGTTTAAAGCTTATCTTCCTTCTGTTGCTTGTTATTGAACAAAGTTTTAAAAAAAAAGTTTATCTTATACTGAATATAGTAAACTTGATATTCCAAAAGCAACTTGTGCTTGCTGTAAGGCTGACATGAGAAGGGATACCACCAAAAATAATGCCGGCTTGCTCTTTATGCTTGTTCTTAAACCTGAAAAACACTCCTAACTGTAGAAAGACTAAGTAAATGCTTTTCTCTTTGCCAAGCAAATTGCAGCGTATAGTCCAGTAGCAAATGATGGTGTAACCCTAGTATGGTGTCATTATGCTTCTCTCATCTGACTCTTTAATAGGGTGGACTATGAGATAAAATTATCATATTTTTGTTTTTGACCCTCAAATCTGTATCTCTTGGCTGGCTTACTCCTCTTTTATTTTTTGCTAAGGGTGACATTGGTTAATATGATCAGAAAGGTTTCAAGTGTACATTTCTATGATATATGATGTGTATATTGCATTGTGTGCTCACTGCCCAAAGTCAATCATCTCCTGTCACCATATATTTTCTCCCTTTACCCTTTACTACCCTTTATCCCCCTTTCCTCTGGTGACCACCATACTGTTATCTGTGTCTATGGGTTTCAGTTTTATGTATCACATAGGGTTCTTAGCTTTTTCTGACTGACATTTCTCTTAGCATGATATTCTCAAGGTTCATCCATGTTGTCACAAATGGCAGTATTTCAAATCTCTCTCTTGGCTGGCTTACACTTCTTTCTTTAGCTACCTACTGGACAGTTCTATATTTGAAAATCCCACTATTATCTAAGTCCTGGCTAAGGCTTAATTCATTATATTTTCTTCTCAAACTTCTCCGTATCCTGTGACTTTTCTTCCTATTTCCTGGTATTGATAATCCTCTTAAGTATTTTAGATTCAGCTCTGACTTATTTTTCTTGTTTTTACTTTGCACAACAATTTTTTCATCCATGATATATCACAAATCTATTTTTCCTTTTAATTTCTTTTGCTGCCCCTCTTGTTCAGGCCTTTATTATCTCGAGCCTCGGTTGCTGCCACAATCTACAGACCGGTCTCCCATCTCCCTTCTCTTCTTTCCCTTCCACTTAGAGAGGAATCAGAACAGTCTTCCTGAAACCTCATTAGGAAGGTTACAGTTGCTCTCTGCTGACTATAGTAATAAGGCCAAATTCTTTGGCCTGTTATTTCAAGCCTCTGCTTTCATGATTCCCCTTTGCCAACTCTGTCTTTTAATCTAATACTTCTTCAACTTCCCTGCTAATAAAAATCACTTATAGGATTTCTTTAAAAACATTAAATTCCAAGACCCATCTTAGACCTATTTAATCAGAGTTGACAACAGAGCGGACCTGGGAAGCTGTGCCTTCGTTGGATTCCCTGTAATTCTTATCAGGGAAATGTAGGAAACCCTGCATTACTACTGCAGACCTGAACTGTTCGTTGTTTTACCTAAGTACCTTGCATTTTCCCTTTGCATGTGTGTGTCTTTGTGCTCTTTTCCCTGCCTGTCTCACTTCTGGATGTCAAAGTCATATTTATTTTCAACACCTAAAATAACATCTTTTCTAAATGTCTTTCCCACTTTGTTTGTAATCTTTTCTTTTTTCTAATCTAATAACCTTTGTCGTTTTGTGTGATCCTTACATTTTCTTTTTTAAAATGGTCTTTTTGCTTATTATATGGTCTTTTCTTATTATATAAGAAACATATGATTGTGTTCTCATTGTTTAGTACTGAAATGTTATATATTCCCTTTTCTGTCTGCCTTATTGTGTGGAGTTCCAGACCGTGAGCTCCTTGATGGTAAACTTTGTGTCATCTTTGAGTGAGACTGTGATAGAGTAGAAATAGCATGAATTTGGGGTCATACAAACTTAGGTGCGCACTTTACTTTCCACTGGTACTCGGCGGCCTTGGATAACTTAGTCTTCCTGTGCCTCAGTTTTTCTCTTTGTAACATGGAAATAACGCGTGCCATTTACAGCAGTGAAGTTAGGCTATGGATATCCTTACATTGACATGTTATACAATCTTGAAAATGTTTTTGAAAGTTAAATGTCTTTAAAGTAAACAATATACTCTAGGTTATAATTTGTAACTTATTTTCAGAGAGCTAAAGAATATCAAACAAACTCTAATATGGTCAAAACTACTCTGCAGAAGCTGTCACCTTCATGCTTAAGTGATCCAGAAGGCTGGGGAAAAACTTCCCCAGCAGCGCAGCTTTCTGGGGCAGGGAGCCATAAGCCCAGTGGAGCTGGCCCAGAGCTTTTCCTGAGCTCTCCCTTATAGTCAGTCCTAGGTAGTGGCTGGAGCAGCCCAGGAGAGCATGAGTGTACACCTGTGCCCCATGACCCATCAGCAACACATTCTCCACACGTCAGTAGGTCTTGACACACTGTGCAGTCTTTGGCCTACAGAGTTTAGCTCTTTTGTCTGTTTATATAATGGAGTCATGGATAAATTTAGCTTGACAAAATAGAACCACAACAAAAAAATCATTGCAATTTACTGGTAAAGAGGACAGAAACTTTCTCTAGAACACATGAGATAAATTCAAGAGAGAATTCAAAGGGAAACGTATTTTGCTTACTTTGCTTTTGTACTGTTCTGCAGACTATGAACACTCTTCAAATGAAACCTTAGTAAGAAAAGGGAACGCTAGCTTGACTGTTAGACAAGCATGACCATAGAATATATGTTTTTTTAAAGTTTAACCTTACTGT